CTCCCTGCCGCGCGGGGCTCGCGCTTTCGGCGTGCAAGTCTCCTGTGACGGACGCCCTAAAATAGCGCGGCGCCCGCGCTCCTCTTCCTTGCGGGCTCAACGGCTTCGGCGCCGTCCATTTTCCAACTGTTGGTAAAATAACGCGAAACCTTCGCAGTGGGAAGGCGACCCGGATCCCACAAGCGGTCTGAGTAACTCGTGAGCAGGGAGGCCGGTATCAATTCCCTCCATGAGGCAACCACATACTACCGTGAGGGACGTTGAGAAACGTCTCAAGAACGTGGGCCCTCCTCCTCACACCCGCAGCAACCGTGCGCTGCGGTGAAGGACACAGGGGTCTCTGGTCCTGCTGCTTGGATTTTTACCACCACGGACACCTTCCCGGAGTCCACAGAGGCCAGGAAGGCCAACACGGGGCTAGCGCGTATCTCACATCAATTTTTTCATAGATCTCAAGATTCCACAAATCGACTGGTAAAATGGCGAAGTCCGTAAAAGTCCACCATAGGTACTTGTTGAAAATCCCACATATCCAAAATTGGGTCCTATGTCCATGTTACACCCTTTCGGATACTGCCTGTATAAAGCAGAATCCTAGGTTTCCATGATCCCAAATCTCGCTGTTTGTCCCCGTTAGCCAGTTGTCAGGGACATTGCCATCTCTACTTCCAGGAACCTCCTCCCCTTTTATGTTATTGTTGCACTGTCCTTTCAAGTGGGAGCCTCAGCCTCCCGAAGAGGAAGAGGTTAAACCATCAGGCTAAGCCAGAATTTTCACGGTGGATCTCAAGACCCGCAGCAAAGATACCTTCTTGGCCCAGCTCATTAGAAGGGCAGACCTCAGCAACCTCCAGGGGTTCTGATTCTGTCCCTCTGTGACCACCAAGAAGACCACAGTAACATAGTATTGGCTCCCCAGCCCTGGCCACTGCTCATCCTGTGAACCACATTCCTGAAAATTTTTTAGGTTTGTTTGTTTGTTTTGAGATCATGAAATAACTACAGATTTCTAGCTGTTAACCGTGTTTATGTGATGCATTTCTTTGATTTTTTAAATCTTTCTGTGTCTTTATGTGGAGGATTCTCTGTTCTCGTAGACAATATGGAACTTGAAGCTTCATTTTTAAAATCAGCCTGGCACCTGTGGCTTTTTAACTGGAGTGTTCAGGTAACTTACTTCTTATGTAATTACCATATGAGTGTTAATCTACCATATTGGTATTTATTTCCATTTGTCCTATTATTCTTTATCTCCCTCACCTTCTCCTTCTGGGATAAGTGGGTTTTTATTAGTGGATAAACTTGGGTTTTCTGTTTTATCTCAATTACTAGCTTATTCTCATTTGCTGGTTTGCTGCTTGGTGTTTATTGGACGTCTTGGATCTGTAGGTTTATAGCTTTATCAACATTTATCAAATTGAGGAATTTGTACCTATTATGTATCTGAATGTCTTTGTAGGCCCCTTCTAGCTCTGCTTCATTTGGAACTGTAGTAGCAGAAAGGATCATTAAGTGTTGTCACAAGTCACTGGAGCTCTGTTTTTTAAAAAATTCTTCATTCTGTATCTCAGTTTGGACAGTTTCTGCTGCTCTGTCAGGTTCACTGATCTTTTCTTCAAAGCTGTTTCATTTGCTGAACCTATCCAGTAAAATTTCCATTTCAGACATTGGATGTGTATCTCTAATAGAAGATTTGTATTTTGAGCACATTTATAACAGCTATTGTAACATGCTTGTATGTGAACTCCACCATTTTCTTCCTGTCTCATTCTGTTTCTGTCAGTTGAGATTTGTTGTTTCATGTTACATTTTCCTATTTTTTGGCTAATGTAGTGATTTTTAATTGGATTTCATCTTTTTTTAAAGAAGACTGTTCAGAGGACTGTTTTGGTCTCAGGTAAGTCACCTATGGGTCAGCTGGGTCCTCTGATGGTCCTTAGCAGCTTGTAGCCTTACTGTTGGACCAGGTTAGCCTTCTGCTAAGCTCTGACTTTCCTGGGTCTCCACTGAGTACCTGTGTTCTGTGGACTCTTCCCCTTCAGCTGGCTGAAACTGAAATGTACCTACCACACCACGAGCTCTGGGGATTGTGCTGCTCCCTACTGCCTGGACATTCTGCCCTCAGATACAGCTCACGGGACCCACAGGGAGGACTCTGCATCTCTTTGGGCAGAAACCTCTATTGATCTCTGTGCCACAAAATTCTAGTCCTTCAGCTCCCCACTCAGCAAAAAGATTCACTTGTGGTGTCTTCCCTTCTCTCAGCATCTCATTTCTCCCATGCCGTCCCAACTCTTAAAAGGTTCCACAGCACCTCCTAATTATGTCACTCTGGGGCCCAAGGCAAGCCTTTCATGTGTAGACCCGTAGGAAACATTTAACAATCTGATTGTAACAGGAGGATAATTAGAAACTGCAAATATGTCTGATATGGTGTCATTTCTTCCGCAGAGAAGATGCAAGTATTTCTAGATTAAAAGACAGCTGAACCTTTCATCTGTAAGTAGGGCCCCAAATAAGAATTTTTCTCTGGGTGGAAAGTGGAGCTGTAATGATCTGACAGGACATGTGGACACAACTCTGTCACTCTTATGCCTTATTTGCCCAAGAATTATCCTGAGATAATCATGAGGCAGCTGTGTTCTCCTAAACCAGAGGAGAGGGTGAGAACCTGAGGAGTCAAATCTGCTCGTACAAGGTGAGGAGTTTCTTATCAAGAAATAGGTGGAGGAAAGCGTGTAGGTGAAGATGAATGTGCGCTCCCAATTTCACAAAAGATGTTATCGAAAGATGAAAGGCTGCACTGGGAGGTTTAAAAAAAGTATCAAGAAAAGAAATAAGACATAATGTCTGTCCATCGCTGATCTTCAGTCCGCTTGTTCCTTTACTTTAGTGTGCACCTAATCTGCCTTCTATTTTTGTGGCACTGGAGACCGAATCCAGTCTCGCTAAGTCATGAACTTGCCCAGGCTAGGTTCAAACTTACTATTCTGCCTTTGCTTCCCAGGGTACAGCGATTACAGGTGTGCATAGGTATGCTTATACTTTTTGATCAACATTTATCAAATATTTGTCAGATTCAGCTCTGGTGGATTTGGATTGTTTGGAAAACTCCTATGTGTTTTCAGGAGAGATTCCCCCAAACTGAATTTATTTATTTATTTGTATTTAGTACAGGGTCTACAGGGTCTCACTACACAGATCAGACTCATAGTGATCCTCCTGTTTTCAGCCTCCCAAGTGCTGAGATTATAGGCACACACCACCATGCCTAGTCTCATTTGCCCAGCACTCCCCAGGGGCAGGGCCGGCACGGCAGGCTGGGTATTGAACGCCCCAACCCCTGCGTCTGCCTAAGTAGGCGCTTTAATCTACTGAGCTATCTGGCTGACCTCCAAACTGAATATATTTAAAAGAACTGGTTGTAATAACTGAAAGAAACTTAAAATGAAGAAAAGCAGTAGGAAGAGGATGGCTCATTTTAAGGGGACAAATGGAGCCGGCATGCCTATGAGGTGGCACCAGAACTGGCGTTGCCACCCTGCTGCTCCCAAGACCCAAAGATGGTGTGGGAAACATGCCCATCCATAGGGAAGAGTACAAGCTCACCTGTTCTTCCAGCCCCTTGTGCAGGCTGGGTGGCATGCGTCCCACAGCTGGGCTCTCAGACCAGCCCAGAAAATAAAATATGCATCTGATTCTTACAGAAGTGGAAGCACATAAAAATAGACTTTCCTTGGTGGTAAAAAAAAATTACTATATATGTATGGAAACTACATAAGGAAGTTAGCCAGTTACTCGTTTGTAATTCAACCACTATAAAAATTATAGCTTCAGTTTTATAAAAATCCCAGAAAATTCTTTATCATCCTTCAGTTTTTTTTTTTTTTGGTGGAACCGGGGATTGAACTCAAGCCCTTGCACTTGCCAGAGAAGCGCTTATTCCACTGAGACATCTCCCCAGCCCTCATCCTTCAGTTTTGGTAAAACCAGCTTAATATACTTTGGGAATGAGCTACACTATGCCATGAAATAATCTCATCTGTCATTAACTTTGCCCTTGAGAAAAAAGCATGTTTACCACTTAAACAAGAATAGTCTCAAATGACTTTCTAGTCACTTTGACCTCAAGGGCACATTTAATTTCTTTTCCTTTCTTCTTCTTTTTTTCTTTTTCTTTTTTGCAGTATCAGGGATTGAACTCAGGACCCTGCACTTGCCAGGCAAGCATTTATTCTACTGAGCTATCTCCCCAGGCCCTAAATAAAGCTTTTTTTCTTTGGAACTGGGATTGAATTGAGGCCCTTGGGCTTGTACTGAGCCATCTCCCTGGCCACATTTAATTTCTAACAGTTGAGCTGTAACCTAGTGTCCCCAGTGGCAGGCATATTTTTCTGTGTCAGATAACATAATTGGTGGCACCTCTTTCCTATCTTAGCATACATTTAAGTATATATATTTTATAATGGCAAATGTGGCAGCTTTTTAATTGTGGAATTTAAAACGAGACATGACTGGGGGAAATAATGATAATACTGCATGTCTTGCTACTATACCATGTGAGCCTCCCTAATACCAGTTCGCACTGAATGTCTGACCTTTTTTGCTTCCTCTGACCTTAGTCTTGAACTGTGCAAATGGCATTTGTTTCCTCCCCATCGACCCTCCAGCTGTCAATCTTTTCCACTGGTTTTTCTGGAGAGGGGTCTTAAGACTAAAAGATTTCAAAATGTTTTTCTCATTAGAGGAACTGACTGAAAAAATTACATTGTAGAGCTGTTCAAGAAGTGGATCAGTATGGGAACAAGTTGGGACATTTTGTCTCCGTTGTGGACAAACTAGGAACAGATAAAGGACCATCAGCAACCAAAGGAGGATACAGACACGATAATACAAAAATGTTGTTGATAAAATAAATTTGAACTTGTTGGATTTCTTTTTGTTGCCTCAGACTTTAGCGAGTTACTCAATGGCTAAGGGAGGTGGGGAATGAGCTCTAAGGGTGGGGGGGGGTAGATCTGGCTCCTCCCCTCCCGAGCAGTGGCCTGGAGGAGTGAACTGCAGAGCCTGCTGCAGGGTAGAGATTTGGGCAGGCAGGCTCCCATTGATAAGATGCTGCTGGTAGGTTCTCTTGGGGACAGAAAGACACCTACGAGCCATCCTGACAAGTCACAAACACCACAGATGCAAGGAAGAAGCAGTGGCAGTCTGAGCACTTGGCCCACATTACTCTCCAGAGACAGTGGCCACTCTGCAGCCCCGCTGCACCAAAAAATGCTGGATGTGGACAGCCGCACCTTTCCTTGGCCTGGGCCTGCTAATGTTCCTGCCTGGGAGCTCATACCTGTGCCATCTGGAACGCACAAACCTGTCTTTACCTAGATTACTATACATCCCCCCGCCTTTCAATCTCTCCAGAAGCTTTTTGGATGACAGACATTGACACTGAATTCTGCTCTGTTCTCAGAGTAGTGACTCAACCTGCCCCACACTCACCACGGTTTGTGACTGTGCACATACTTGGTGCTACCTACGGTTTTATGGCTGTTTCGCCAACCTGTGACCCAGTCTGGCTGGGAAGGCAGGGAATAACTAGATTTTGGGTAACATCACATCTTCAGCATCTTAGAATGTATGGCAGGTGCTCAGTGTAGACTGGCTACGGGGAGGTGGGCAGATATGATTTCTTTTGAGACACATGGCCTTGGGAGGCTAGGCAGGAGGACTGTCAAGAGTTTGAGGCCAGCCTGGAATACATAGTGAGACCCTGCCTCAAAAAAAAAAAAAAAAAAAAAAAAAAAAAAAAAGTCCAAACAAGTGGGCTGATCTCATGACTAATGTCTAACCTTCATTTAGAGGTAGGAAAGGTTAAAATACAATGTTTTATTGCACAAAGACTACAATTTAAAAATGAAAGTTAATCATTTCCTAGAGGTAGAAATTTATAGGGTAGGTGAATGGAGAATCTATGTGGGTTTTTAAAAAGACATTGATTTGTGATATGGTCATAATATTTACATTGTATAAAGGATAGGCATTTAAATGTTTTTATGAAATTTATTTTCAAATTGAAGTGGCAGTGTATACAAAGGTAACAGCTTGTGATAATTTATAGGAATGTTTTCTATGACATGCACATTATGAAGTGTTTCCAACACATACATATTAGGTTTCATGCTGAATAAATAATCCCCCCAAATTTTTATTTTTACATAAAAATAGAATATTGCACTGTTAACAAGACAAGTTATTTTGCATATTTTTCTTCTGATAAATGACAAAATTCAGCCCTTAAAAAAAACTGAGTAGCAATCCTATTCTAATAGGAGACTAAAGTTCTCAGTAAAAAATGGAAACTAGACAATAGCTGCAATTTTGTTTTACACAAAGCAAATCACTTCAACGTGAATAGAAATAATCTCATCTCTGCAATTCACATGCCTCAGAATTAATTCCTGGCTAGTGTAAACCATGATCCAAAAGTAGCCAGTGAAGCCCTTACCACATGTGTGCAGCTAAAGGTTAGGGACACACATGGCCACTCACTTGCCTGAGTCCCTATCTTGATGGCAGAGACTTTACACTTGTTTTTTTTTTTTTTTTTTTTTAACAATTGTATTTTATAGTTTCTAAGCAGAATGTTGTAGAAAGTGTAGAAGTTACAAAAGTTCTATAAACATTATATGAATTAAATTTCCATAATAAATGCTCAAGTTATTCTTAGGCAGGAATACATATTTTTATCTTGTGGTAACATATTTCTGAGCCTATTTTGCAGTGTTTTTCAAGCCACTAAAGCAGCACCCCAAGTAAAAATACAGCTGTCACAGCATGGCAGGGATAGACTACTGCAAGATTTTTAGAAATCCTGTCTTTATAGTGTGTAGGTTTGCCATGGAGTACACATGGATTTTTCTAGTGTTTCTAGAATTCTTAAGTGAAATAGGTTAGTAGGAACAGGTAAAATTATTTCCTAGAAGAATAATTCTGTCTTCTATTTACAACACAGTAAGCTGTCTCCTTTTTAAATTGTTTTGGGCAAAAAAAAAAAAAAATTCCTCCTGTGATGAGATTAAATTGCTGCATCTCAGCTGTATCGTGATACCTGTACAGACTTGTGTAGTGGAGGCTTCCTATTGGTTAAGTATTCAATGCTCTGTCAATAGAACTGTTATTGGCAGATATTGAAAGAATATCCAATATCTAGTTTTTTGGATTTTAAGTAAAATTTTAATGAGAAACAGAATGTGTCTGAAATCAGAGATATTTGCATTCTCGTTTGTGGCTGTCAAAAAGTCCTGGTTCTCCTTTTTGAAGGCAACTGGCAAAAAACTGCCTAGTGCTTAGATTCATTCATAGTCTTAGTATTCAGATATTCCGTAAAATGTTTGTTGCACAGGCATCTATGGAATATCTGCTTTTCAAAGAAAGCAATTATTGAGTCCCGAAAATTCTTATCTTTTTTCCTTTCCTTTTTTTGGTGTGTATGTGTGAGAGGAGGGGGTATTTCAAGGCAGAACATTTTTAAAATATAATATTTATAATATCTTACATAAATAGCCAATTTAAATTCTCCTGGAAAAAATAGAAAAGGTTGACTTTTTTTTTTAACAATAGCTTTGTGGGAAAAACTTTAAGACTGCAACTTTAATTTATCACTCAAGACCTCAGGCTTGTTGTTTGGTGCACAGTGTAGAATCTTCTGTATCATCACTAAATTAGGACACTACATCCTCTCAGGACCTGAATTGCCTTTGGAATTTTGCACAGAAGAGCAGATACTATTATTTGGATGTTCGTTTAATCATCCATTTCTCCAGCTCAGCCTGCTTCACTGGCAAAGTTGACCTCTGAAATGTGGGTCCTGTGCTCTACAGAGAAAACAGCCCCTCATGGTCACCCAGCTGCATAGCTGCTGAGGAAGGAATAGAACATGGGCTGCTTCACGCGCTGCTGGTCCTTCCGACACCAGGCAATCACTGTCCCCTCACTGTTGGCTGTGTACAAATGGTGGCCATCGCAGGAAAACGTAAGGCTGTAGAAACAAAACGTGTACATTACATTTCTTAAAATTATATTAACATATTGGCCATGACATGGAAGGTGAAATATTTTCCCTGAAATATAGAGACATAAATGAAATGGTGGCTATTGCTTATTGGTTTTGACTGTGTTTCTAAGATATCGCTCTGCTCACAAGTTGTATGTCTGATTTTAACCTGGTTATGACACAAGATAAAACCAGGACCCAAGAGCTCCAGGACCCAAGAGATCCTTCTTTACATGGTATTTTATTTTTTTCATATTTATACTTTATTACCTAAACCACAAATGCTTAGCTATAGAAAACTAAAAAATAACAATAGCTATGTCCTTAAAATTATAACTATTTTACAGATATAATCTGAACAACTAAATTGAAGACAATAATATGCAATATAACAATTATTGTTGAATTCCCATTATTTTGTTTAGTAAAATTCTGTATTGCTTCTTCTTTTTTTTTCTGGTACTGGGGATTGAACTCAGGACCTTGCACTTGCCAGGAAAGTGCTTATTCTACTGAGCTATCTCCCTGGTCCTTGTATTGTTTCTAATGTTTTTTTATTTTTTAATTTTTTTTTTATTCTTTTTATTTTTTGGCGGGACTGGGGATTGAACTCAGGCCCATGTGCTTGCCAGGGAAGCGCTTTCTTCCACTGAGCCATCTCCCCGGCCCCCTCTAATGTTTTTTAAAAGCTATTTTTATATTCGCTTTAAAAATAAAGAAAAACTTTAAAAAAATTTAAGCTTTGATTCCAGATACAAAAAAAAAAAAAGCTCATTAAACTTTAGAGCTAGCACAATGAAAATAAATTTATTTTAATAAATTAGAATTTGAGTCACTTGACTTCTAATTGAGTTTTTAGAGTCAAATTTGTTAACCTAGCAAAGAGTAGCTGGCTGTTTATCTGTCTTCTCAAGCACATGGTTGTACCAATCAGTCACCATTATGTTTTTTGCAGACCAGTTTCTGAACTTTTAGAGGCTTCTTGGGCTCACTGCCCAGCGTGCCTGTCCAGTAGGTTCTGAGCTCAGACTCACTCCACAGGACAGGAAGTGTGGTCATTTTATTTTGGGGTCTGGACAACCTGCTGGCTTTTCATGATGCCTTCAAGCATGTAGTTCTTCAGGTTGGTGTGCTTTAATATCTCTCTAGCAAAAATACAATCGCAGGTCATATTATGCAGAATATAGGGGGACATTCTTACCTTACAATAGGCTTATTTGATTTTGGAAATGTAATTTCTCTCACAGGCTTTAAGTCCCAGGTGCTCCATAACCTAGAGGGAAAAAAATTCATATAATTATGCAAACTAAAACTACTCTTTCTTAAAAAGCCTACATATTTGTTTATGTGTTATAAGTTACCTGGGAGGAAATATAATAAGCAAATAACTGTTATTACTATGAATTTTATAAGGGTGAATGTACGATGAGGAACTTTTAGCTTCATATACCTTCATACTGTTAATCTTTTATAGTAAATACAGAATTTCAAAACTGTGCTAAATGTGTCTTTATTATCTAAAAATAAAGGAAGAACAACTGAAGAACCTGAAGCCAAATAGGATTCTGGTAAAAGGGAATGAACTTATTCAAAAGGATGGAGCTACTGAGTTGGAGAAGGACAGGAGAGGCAGTGGGGAGAAGAGGTATATCTATGTATGTAAGCAGGATGCTTTCAACAGCTATACTGTGCATTTCTGCTGCTTTAAGGAAAGAAGTTAAGGCTTTGTTTCTTCTCCTTTTTTAAATTGTTTGTACTTTTTCTCTTAATTTCTTATACATTTCTTTTTTTCTTCCAATTTTACATGCAATCTGTCAATATGAATAAGTGGTTGGAAGACAACACTATATAATACAACAAATACTGTGAAATTCATATTACTTTAAGTGAAACTCTATTACTTGTAATTTTTTCTGTTTTAATTCTAATTTGTACTCTCTTTAAAAAAAAGAACGTAATGTATAAAACTGAAAACATACTAGGGCTGGCCAAATAGCTCAGTGGATTAAAGTGCCTGCTTAGGCAGATGCAGGGGCTAGGAGTTTGATTCCCAGGCCTGCTGTGCCATGATTCAGACTAGGCATGGTGGTGTGTGCCTGTAATCCCAGCACTTGAGAGGCTGTAAACAGGAGGATCACTATGAGTCTGATGTATGCAGTGAGACCCTCTACACCCTATACACCCTGTCCTAAACTAAAAAAAAAAAACAAAAAAACACTCTTATGTAATATTAACATGCACTAATAAAGTATAATAAAATATAGAGCTTGAATAATTCTAATAAATATACATTCATTAAAAAATAAACTAGGTATTAAATATTAACATTCCTACATATTAACAACTAATTTCTAGGGAACAACTAATTTCTAGGGCTGGGGATATAGCTGAGTGTCATAGTGCCTGCCTGGCAAGTGTAAGGTCCTGAGTTCAATTCCCAAAACCCCCAAATTTTTAGAAACATTACATCCCAATGAATAAAAGCCAAAACAGAATCCCAACTTGGCCTACCTTACAATTCCATTTTCTAAGCCTCCAGCAATTACATTGACAGATACTCCCTCTGGCTGATTGGAGAAAGTCACGGAGCAGATGATCTCTCTGCAGTGGACATGTCCAACGAGGTCCCCATTCACTGTCCAGAGTCTAAGGTCACTGCCTCCGCCCGCTAAAACACCAAATTGTCCAGGAGGTCAGCAGGATATAGGGTCTCAGAGACCAGGATATGGGCCCCCAAGGGTGATCACGATGTACAAGGGCAGCCACGGCCAAGGACTATTTAAATTACTGCAGTGTAAGTGCCACTGAAGCTTACAATAATTATCCAGAGACAATGACCCATGAGAATGCAAAAATGTGGTATACAATGTAGAGCAATAAAGTAAATTAATCATGAATCTTTGTGTAATTTCAGCTTTGAAACATCAAATCTTATTTAGGTCTGAAAGTACCTGGAACACTGAACAATCTAAAAAGAGATGAAAATATTCTATGAAACTATCCAGAAGAAGTGACTTGTGTGACTTTCAAAGAGAAAAAAGAAAGGTGTAGTAAAAATTATCTGAGTTTAAAAACTAATTCTTAACAAGAGAAGAAAACTTACTCCTTAGCTCATCTAGGATGGATTTATCAGTGCTTCCTTAAATTTTGTTTCTCTTGGGCTGGTAAGATAGCTCAATGGACTAAGCGCCTGTTTAGGCAAGTGGAGGGACTGGGGTTCGATCCCTGACCCTCTGGCTCACTGAACTGGCCACCGGGACTGGATGTGGTGGCACACACTGTTTCTCTTTTCAAAAATTACAGTGGTCAATGTGTTCCAGTTTTTTGAGGGTATAAGAGTCAATCATTGTGTGCCATGCATTGGAAGTGGGTTTCTTGGGCTTATGATGACGTGCACAGCTTTCTTTGAAGAAATAGTCTCTGATTTAAAAAAAGAAGTTTTATCTCTAACTTAGACAGAAACTTTCTTTCTCCTAATAAATAAATTCTGCTCAAAAGAAAGGAGGTTATGAAGCATGACCACATTTCGATGACATATCTCATACCCTTAATTTTATCTTTTCATTAAGACTAACAATAGCATTTATCAAACAGTGAAAATAGTTCATATTTTATAGCAAAACTCTCAGAAGCATTAAAAATGTCAGCTATCACAGATCAAAGTGGTTAGTGTATTGTAGATTATTCAAAATAGCCCAAAGGCAGAAACAGCCAAATGTCCAAAACAGATGAATGGATAGATAAATGCTGTGTGTATTTAGATATAAGTGCACTATTGGGTGGAATACTATATTCACCACATAAAGGAAAGAAGTACTGAGATGTAATACAACATTGATACACCCTGAAAACATGCACTAAATACAATAGGACACAGAAGGACAAAAACTGTCTGATTTCACTTACATAAACTATCCAGGATAGGCAGATTCATAGAGATAGAACAGAGGTTCCCAGGGGCAGAGGTGTGAAGAACGAATGGGGAGTTACTACTTAATGGTCACAGCACTTCCTTTGGTTGATGGAAGTTTTTGAAATAATGGTGATGGCTGCACAACATATAATCAATGCCACCGAACTGTGTACTAAATGGCAAATTTTATGTTAAATATATTTTCACACACATCTACTGTTACTAAGACTTCCTACTGTAGCTCACTGACTAGGAGATGTTACCTAAATATGGCACCAACAGCAGAAGACTTAAGTTTATTAAAGAGATGGAATTACAACACAAGTCTGGTGGTATATACTTATTATCCTAGCACTCTGGGAGTGCTGAGACAGGAGGATCAAATTTTGAGCCCAGCCTATAAACTGAGACCATGACTCAAAATTAAAAAAGTGATTGGGCATGTAGTTGAGTGTGAAGGCCCTGGGTTCAATCCCTAATACAGGGGATGGGAAACAATGGAATCACCTTTTCTACGAGCAGGCTACATCTAATCTCTCATCTTTCCCTTTTAAATTTTGCATGTGATCAAATTTTTTTTTCTTAAATAAAGTAACCATATGAATACTGAGTCAAGTTAGAATGGTTATGAAATCACTGATACTCATCTGTAAAAGATATTGAAGCAGGGTTGGTCATTGTAACTTGTAGCTACTGCACAGCTTAATCCTTCAAAATGAAAAATCTAAATATGGGCCTGCACTCCCTGAAGTGTAGTACTAATAACCAAAGAATTATCCTAGCAACTCACTACATAGCATCTTGGGTTGCTGCAACACCAAATAACTACTTGTTTGCCTAAGACTTACCTAAATTACAGACTGTAACTACATAAGAGATTGCTTTCATGTATAGCTTAATACATTCCTGAAAAAAAAATCTTTTTCTTTTCTTTCCTTTTCTTTGTATTTTAGGGAAGGGTCTATAGCATGTTCAGGGTTTTACTGTTAGATTGGACTCGTAGTGATCTGCCTATTTACAGCCTCCCAAGAGCTAGGATTACAGGCGCGTGCTACCATGCCCAGTCTCAATTGCAGTCTCAGCGCGCCCCGGGGCAGAGCCAGCATGGCAGGCCTGCAGTCTGTTTTTTTCTATTCACTGTAATGAGAATTAAATTGAGAAAACAACTTGCTCTAAATCTTGGAGAATGGTATTACTTTCATAATGCCACCCTAACAGAGGACCAGGCCATGCATGTCTCACCCTCATTCAAAGGTATATGTTCTGCAGAGGGATAGAATGGTTACAAAATACAAAACCTATTATAACTTTTCTGTAGTTTTATATCTTATCACTATAAAAATCATATCTCATAGTAAGACCAAAAGAATTATGATCAGGAGGAATTAATTTGACAGTGTAAATTTTGAAACAATTTTACACACATACGATATATATATATGTACGTACAGATATACTCATTTTTAATTTTGATTCTAAGAAAACTTGTGTCCACTAAAATGTTACAATTTTTGGTAGGTTAAACCTGATTATTTCCTTCCTTTCTTAGCACATAAGAAAATAGGACTATAGTCTGGGTCACTAAACATGTTTGACTCTTAAAAAAGTAATTTAAAAAATAAGTTAAAAATTTCATTCTCTATTAAGTGCTCTTTGTGGAAAAAATCTCTCTCTCTCTCTCTCTCTCTCTCTCTCTCTCTCTCTCTCTCTCTCTCGAGGCCTTACAATTTTTGGGAAGGCTTTTTTGTTAAAATTGGAAAAAAGTTCTGGTCATTATTCTGTTATACTGTTTGATTTCCAGAGACACCCACGTATTCTACTATAAGCTGGTAATTGCAGCAAAAGTAATTTCGTTTTTAGTCCCCATATGACTAGCCGATGTGGTATCACAGGAGTAAATCACTGCTGGCAGCAGGAAAGTAATTAACTCTAAAAAATTCAGCTCCTTTAGGATCAATCCTAACTTTCAAACACTGCCAAGAAAAGAAAGTAGAGAACTTTATATAAATAAGCATTCTGTTATTTCCCCAGCATCCTTCTGGATGTGACATAGTAAAAGCCAACAAAGTACACTCAAGAAAGTCATCAATCAGTACTAAAATCAACTGTTTAAGATATTTTCCTTTAGTTATGGTCATTAGGAAATTAAAGTGTTTCCATGGCATGATTGTATGCCTGGAGATTAAAGTGGCAAAAATATTTTCATCTTTGAAGTCCTTAATCATAATCACCAACATTAGTTTTCTTGAATGTAAGAGTGAATGTTTTGTAAAAAAAAAAAAGGTAACAACAACAACAAAACTCTAAGAGATACCTGTAACATAAGAAAAATCAAATAACTGGTTTTTATTCCTGTTCCTGACTCACCCTTGGATTTTATTGTCTTTTGTATACTAGTAGAGATGCTGGTCACCAGGATTTTAGACCACCCCTGGGAGGGGTAAGACTGGATTGTGCTGTGTCACTTATCTGTTCTCTGATTTTTCAATCAAATCTTTAAATGACAAGGCCAGGTTTGCATTGAGGCTGGAGAATACCATGGGGCTGGTGCTTCCCTACTCTATAACTCGGTCTTGGTGTGGACTGGTCTCTTGTGCTCAGGACCCTTCCAGACTTTGCCCTAAGTAACTCTTCATCTGGCTGCTCATTTCAATTCTTTACTATAAATGATAGTAGTAAACACAGGTTGACCATCTGAAATGTTCTGGGAACAGACGTTTGAGAACTGTCATGATGATACAATTGGAAAATTCCACACCTGACTTCATGTGTGTATTAGGTATGCATGAAATATAGTAAATTTTGTGCTCAGACTTGGGCTCCATCCTCAAGATATCTTGTTACATATATGTACATATTAAATAATACAATAAAGAGACAAAATCTGCAATACTCTGTTACCAAGCATTTTGGATACTCAGCTTATCTGGTGATTTACTGCATTTTGTGACTCATTCTTGAAAATTATTAAACCTAGAAATACATAGACTTGACAACACCTAAATCTGCTAAGTACAAGTAGTGTCACATAGCTTGGCAGTCTACACACCTGTCTGGCAAGTATAAGGACCTGGGTTCCATCCTGGGTAACCTCATGCCATGCCAGTCCTGGAACCCTGCGCCCACTGTGCTGGCCACCAAAACAGGGCATGGCAATACACCCAGTGCTGGGGAGGCTGAGACAGGAAGATCACTATGAGTTTGAGCAGTGTAGTGAGAGCTTGTACTAAATAAAAGATTTTTAAAAATTTAAAAAGGGTCGGCCAAAAATAGTTTAGTGGATTAAAGTGCCTGCTTATGCAGATACAGGGGCTGGCCAGAGTTCGATCACCTGGCCTGCTGTGCCGGTCCTGCCCTCGGGGTGCACTGAGAAGGTGAGTGAGACTGGGCATGGTGGCGCACCTCTAATCCCAGCACGTGGGAGGCTATAAACAGGAGGAGTCTGATCTATGCAATGAGACCCTCTACACCCTGTACACCCTGTCCTAAAAATAAATACATAAATAAATAAAAAATAAATGAAAGAATTGAATTACAGTTTTAGATACCTAATTGGTATCAGAAAATTGAGGAAATGGTGTTTGAAAGATATTATATATTTGGTGTTATAAAAATATAT